CCCCCCCCCTCCATTTGTCTCTTTCCCCCTGAAAGGTGGAAAGGAACAGGGGGAAGGGGTAGCAATGAAATCATCTATTTACACTATCTGCGTAGCAATGAAATCATCTATTTACACTATCTGCAATGTACAGGACTTTTCCGTCCTTCATGTATGCCATACTCTTGAATCAATAAAACCAATAAAAAGGTATCATTATATCTAAAGTCTACGCCGTACGTCGACCACCACTCACGTCGGAGTACGTCGCAGTCGAGGCCTTGGTCAGGGCTCTCTGTTTCCTGTGAGCCGCGACTTTCTCCTTGCCCACGTCGTCTGAATCCTCCGAGGACGAATACTGAAACACCAAACAGACGGAGAAAGTCAGAAAAGTTTTGGAGAAAAAAATGTTCCTTCTTTTCTAAAGCAATAATATAATAATAATATTAATCCATATCGTTTCTTGGCCCACGACTGAGATAAATGGAAGGAGCTTGTGTGTGGCCTATACCCTGCCAGGGGTGGAAAGCATTGATGATGATGATGATGATGATGATGATGATGATGATGGTGATGATGATGATGATAATGATGATGATATCATTTCTACAGTGCCCACCCGTTTACAGTACATCTCTAAGTGCTGTACAATACCTTCATCTTAATATAAAAATACACGTGCATAAACTTGCATAAAATAAAAACGCTTTTTCGACGATGAACACTAGCACATAGGCAGATATCTATACTTTCACAGCAAAAGATGTGGCCCAAGAGAAAAGCCGACTAAAATGAGGAAGACAAGAAAAAAAAAAGGGCAGGAGAGGAGGAGGAGGAGGAAAAATAAGAAAAGACGGAACAAGAAAGCTGAGATTGAGAAGGAAAAGTGAAACTGAGGGAAGAGGTGGAGACAGACAAGCGAAGTGAAAAGATTTGGATAAACAGTGCAGACCAGCTCGTTAGCTTTTTGTAAGTCTTACAGCATTTGCCACTGAGTTAGATCATGTAAGTGCCAAAGATTAGAGGTCTTACAAAGGAGTAATAAACACACCAAAAAAAAACAACCAGGAAGGAGAAATAAGGACGATGGATGTTTGAAAGGAAAGAAGGAGCCAGAGCCCCCGCCAGCCACCCACTAAATCAGCTGACAAGTCGATAAAGCTCTTCTTCTTCTTCTTCTTCTTCTTCCTCCTCATTCTCGATGACAGCAGCTACAGAGTCAGTCCGATGTTGCGCACAAACTGTGCATCCCGCTTCAAAGATATAGCTCTCACCTCTGTCTCCTCGTCCTCACTGTCGGGTTCCTCCGCCTCGTCCTCGCTGACGCTGATGCTGCCCTGGTCAGACTCCTCATCCTCACCTGACATAAAACAGGCTAGTTTTAGTAAGAGTTTTACGGCCCTTGCAACACAATAAAGTCAAATAAATGCCGAAGTTTAGAGGTGTTAAAGAGAGTTTTAGTTTAAGTAAGAGTTTTACGGCACTTGCAACACAATAAGGTCATAAAAATGCCCAAGATTAGAGGTGTTACAAGAGAGTAACTAACACAAAAAAGAAGGAGAGAAAAGGACGATAGATGTTTGAAGGAAAGAAGGAGCAAACCACACCACTGACACAAAACAGAACGCAATAAAGCGTCACAAAGACAGGAAACAAACTCACATTCCATTATCGCAAAGATAGAAAACAATAAACTTGGGTCATCCTGTCCTAAAGACTGAAAGCAACAAATTCATTTAGGTCCAGAGAGATACCTTAATTGGCTTAAAAAGCATAACACCGGCTGTCGCATCCGGCGGAAAACTATACAGAAGTTTTAGCGTATTATGTTTGTTCAAGCGATACAAGTGCAATTATCAATTATCATTATAACTTTTGAATGGGATTAAATTGTCAGATAACGTAAGAAATCGTGTAAATAAACAATTCTTGTCTTAGGTTGCAAATGTCATGGAATTGTTACTAAAAACTTGAGTGAAGAAGTGAAGAAATGAAAGGCTATCCGGAGTGAAGAAGTGAAGAAATGAAAGGCTATCCGGAGTGAAGAAGTGAAGAAATGAAAGGCTATCCGGAGGGAAGAAGTGAAGAAATGAAAGGCTATCCGGAGGGAAGAAGTGAAGAAATGAAAGGCTATCCGGAGGGAAGAAATGAAAGGCTATCCGGAGTGAAGAAATGAAAGGCTATCCGGAGGGAAGAAGTGAAGAAATGAAAGGCTATTCGCGGTGAAAACTGACTGGAGACATCCTCCGTGAGTCCAACGTTGTCATCTTCGATAAACTGTGGGGAGCCAATCAAGTAGGGCAAAGGTCGCGTCACATATGGGTCCTGGCGGGGAAAAAGCCAAAGAGAAGTTACGAGAACGATAGATGCCATTTTAATATATATTATGTAAGTGTGTGAATGCGCGTACGTGAGTGTGTGTGTGTGTGTGCGTGTGTGTGTGTGTGTGTGTGTGTGTGTAGGTGTAGGTGTGACTGCCGGCTTGGGTTAACATGTGTGTACAGATGAATATGAATAACCTTTATGAGCTCGAATGTCACTTGAAAACACAATTTCATTTTATTGATGTGAAGCACCTAGAGTCCAACAGGGAAGTGGATACTCTAGAAATCTACTAATCGTTACTGTTACAATTATTGCTAATTTTCCCCATACGCAGTTCAGGCACAGTTATGAGCATGACATTGATGAATCAGCCCACTTACAATTCTACTGTGTATAAGAGCATGTTAATGTCCCCCCTTTGGGAATGGCCAAAAGACACTTAGGTCAGTAGCACCTCCCTGGGGAGTAGCTCTTTCAGTTTTCTTTTTAATATATTTATTTATCTCTCTCTGTGTAACTCTTTCTGCAATTTCTGTGTAACTCTCTCTCTCTCCCACTCTCCCTCCCCTCACTCACTCTCTCTCTCTCTCTCTCTCTCTCTCTCTCTCTCTCTCTCTCCCTCTCTCCATCTCTCTCCCTCCCTGACCTTGGCCTCCAGGATCGGCTCGGCCCTGTAAGAGTTGTCCTCGTCCTCCGAGTCTGAGTCCACCACGGCCGTGTCCAGTCGTTCAAACGCCTGGTCGATGACCTCGATCCCCAGCTTGAGCGCCGTCGTCACCCGCGGGATTAGCTCAGACTCCCGCTGTTCCCGAGTCTTCTCCTGAAACACGCGGGAAAGTCGCTCTAATGAACACACAGAAAAGTCGCTCTAATGAACACACAGAAAAGTCGCTCTAATGAACACACAGAAAAGTCGCTCTAATGAACACACAGAAAAGTCGCTCTAATGAACATCCAGAAAAGTCGCTGTGACTAAACATGCAGAAAAGTCGCTGCGACTAAACATGCAGAAAAGTGGCTGTGATTAAACACACAGAAAAGTGGCTCCAGTAAACACACTCTCCAGTAAACACACTCTCCAGTAAACACACTCTCCAGTAAACACACAGAAAAGTGGCTGTGACTAAACACACAGAAAAGTGGCTTTGATTAAACACACAGAACAGTGGCTGTGATTAAACACACAGAACAGTGGCTCCAGTAAACACACAGAAAAGTACCTGCAATTAAACACACAGAAAAGTTGCTTCAATAAAACACACAGAAAAGTCGCTAAAGAAAATTCGCTGTGATAAGACACACAGAAAAGTCGCTACGATTAGACGCACAGAAAAGTCGCTACGATTAGATGCACAGAATTTTTAAGTCGCTACGATTAGACGCACAGAAGAGTCGCTGCGATTAGACGCACAGAAGAGTCGCTGCGATTAAGCACACAGAAAATCTGTTCTGACTAAATGCACAGAAGAGCAGCTCCGATCAAAAATAAAAAAGTTTCTTTGAACTTCGACTATCGTTCAGACTGGTGTTTGCTATGAACAACCCACAGAGCAAACAAACGGGAGAACTTCCGTAATGAGCGACCACTATGAGACAGATCAGAATTGAGGACTAGGGGTAGGGGTAGGGGTAAGGGTAAGAGTAAGAGTAGGGGTAGGGTTAGGGTTAGGGTTAGGGTTACGGTTAGGCCTCTTCTTTATTGTGTTTGATGGGGTTGTCGCTCGTTACGGAAGTCCTTCCAAACAAACAACAGGGTGGCAATAATCCGTAAACATAATCAAAATTCCAACCTGCGTCTCGGCTTTTTTCTCCTCCTCTGAGTTCGTCTCTTGGCTGACATCTTCATCATAAACCCTCTGGAAAAGTTACAGAAAATCAAATTCAAAACACAAGAAAAATGGAACTTAAATGCTGATCTACACAAAACATAGCCATTCAAATAGGGCAACTCGGAAACAAAACAAAACAAAAATTTAGTCATTAGTGCCCCGACAAATCTATACATTCTATACAACCAATTTCCTTCACAGTTATTTTTCACCAATGTTTTGTAAAAATATCTTAGTAAGTTTTACTCATACGACAAGGTCTTTTCAGTCTCCACACAAGTTTATCCTTGTACTTTACAGAGACAGACAGACCATTTCAAAATCATTGCACTTGACTTATTTGTACGACAATAGAACGAAGAAAAAGGAATGAAAGAAGAAAGAAATAACACATCAAAGCGAACGTCAGGTTTTTACATTCAAAAGTGAAATTATTTCAGCATTAAAAAGGTTGCACCTCCTGTTGATTAGTTTATTAATTGCCCCACAACCCAAAGGGGAGAAAGACATTCAATAAAACTTAACACTTTAAACAATCTTTTTCCTTAACCCAACACATCATCACTGATTCCATTACCGACGAGACTGACAAAAACTTACGTTCTCCACAAACTGTGTGTTTGCCAACATGATAAAATCATTGATGACATTATTTGCCCTGACACCGGTCAGCTGTGAAAGGAAGAAATTTATGCTGTAGTAAACACAACATACGAAAATATGGAAAATGAACATCGTCAAATGCAATCATTAAAAATAGATTGGATTTCTTTAGCGCAAATTTTCACTCAACTGCAAGTATTATGTGCTTCACAATCAACATTATTACCTCAGCAGACCTGAGAGCATTCTGAAACAATCTAAACTTCCTGAAAACCATACAGTGCAAGCTGCCATTTTACAGGTGCCAAAACACTCACATACTGACAGTTCAGTTTGGGGGATGAAACAACACTGCAGGAACTGCTCAAATCCTTTTGACTCAATATTTGACCATATCTGAATAAATTATACTACTCAACAAGCTCACAAGAACAATGTCAACGATAACTTTTGAGGTGTGCTCACCTGGTGGGTGAAAGAACAAATTGGTTTTGGGGGGGGGGGGGGGGGGGGGGGGCTGTCATTTTTCAGCAATGCTCAAATGCTGCCTGGAAAAACAAGCAGGGCAAATGCAGAGTGGCAGAATGGACAGTGGGGGCAGGAGCAAACCCAACCAGAGCACCCGCCAACCACCCACAAAACTGTGCCTCAACAGCTGTCCAGAGAAGCAAGAGTTTGAGGTAAGATGGGTACTTTTTTTTTATTTTGGAAACATTATGGAAGGGAAACAGTTTCGACTTCACAAACTGATTGAGAGGATGGGGAGTGAGACAAGGCCATTCACAAACTGATTGAGAGGATTGGGAACCCAACAAGGCCAGGTACTGGTAAGTTATAACAAAAATTTCTAGAATTACTTTAAAAAACACAGTAGCTATCATTCATTTGATGGGGAAAAAGCAAGTCAAACACACAGAAAGTAAAGAAGTAGGAACTAACAGTAGTGTGCCCCCCCCCCCCCCCCCCCCCCCCCCCATGGAGGGCATTTTTAAAACCATTTGACACACACACACATTGGCCTCTGAAGAAACATTGTATAGTATGAGGTGTGGTCAGATCTTGTGCTCACCTTTGCTTCATAAACCAGTCCATCTACTTCTTTTCCAATTTCATGCGTCCTTGAAATCATCCGTTGCGAAAATTCTTGCAAGTGTTGTAACAACTGGAGAAAAAGATATTTTTTATTTAATTTTCAAAACAGTCAAGCATAACATACCATGACATATAACAAACAACCGTCATACTAACTAAAAGCTTATTTAGCTACTAAAACAATAATGATGAAAATACAGTCAAACATTTCATGAACTCCCATCAATTGAGAGATTATAACCATGCTTGCTAATCGTCTTTCAACCGGCTTCCAATAGAAAGCAGATTATTCCAGTCAGCAGTTTTGTTTAGAGACAAACCATTTCTCAGTTTTTGTCTCTTTTAGTATATATATATTTTGCTTTGTTTCAGTAAATGTGTTACAGCACCTGCAACACAGGTCATATAAATGCGGAAGAATAGTGAAAGAGAGAAACAAACACAAAAAAGGAGAAGGAGAGATAAGATTTTGATAGGAGACAAGGGGCAAACAACATCAAAGCATTCACCAACCACTTGAAAGGACCCGTTATTTTCTTTTATTTCCCAGCACTATAAGTAAACAGATGGAGTCAGCCACTGTTTCAACATAAACAAACCCTATTCCACACGAGCAAACCCAAGAGAAACACTTACTCCAGAATCACCAGCCAGTGACCAGTTCCCGGCCTCGGTACGCATCTCTTGGACTGACCACGGCCGTTCCCATAATCTGGGACCATTTTGAGTCGAGTCGCCAGATGGGGCCTGTAGAATAGCAGAAAGTTTAGTTTTAGTAAGAGTTTTACGGCACTTGCAACACAATAGGGTCATATAAGTGCCAAAGATTAGAGGTGTTACAAGAGAGTAACTAACACAAAAAAGAAGGAATAGAGATTAGGGTGACAGATGTTTTATAGGAGGAAAGACGGAGTAAACCACACCAGAGCACTTGCCAACCACCCACACCAGAAAGTTGAGACAACAGTTCTTTATGTATGCATTATTTTATTTAATCTATTTCAGGATAGGCAATAACCACAACTCGAGACAGGATTTATAAAATTGAATCTACATTTCTTGAAATGTTAAATATTTATTTGTTATTATGATTATTATTATATATTACATTGGGCATGTTACACATTACACATGTCAAAATGATGAATACTATTGAAGAGTTAAAAGCACAAACTTCTTGTTGGTCAAGCCATTACATCTAATACCAACCTCAACTCAAAGTTCTTGGTAAGAGATATCTTTTAAGGGTCGTATGAAGTAGAAAATTATAACATCATGCTGTGTGAAGACCTCCTGACTACAATAAAACGACACAGTCCTACCATCGTCCTAACTGGCCAAGACAAGAGAAAAATACAAGGAACAAGACGAAGAGGCAGATAGTAGAAGAAACAATTGGAAAAACGTCAAAGTGAAAGAGTGGATCGGCCGTGACTGGAATATCATTTTGCGGAAAGCTAGGAACCACGAGGAAGGGAAGAAGCTGATTGTAAAATCTACAGTGGTTCCCAACGGTCAGCCAGACTAGGATACATGAAGGTGAAGAAAATAGAAAGTACTTTCATTCAATTTTTTACACACTAGCGATGCTATCTGACTATCAAGGTCTGCTAAAAAAATTCAAGTGTTCAAATAACAAGTCAATTTTTTTCCAAATGTTTCAGAATGCCAGACAACAAAGACATAGCAAAGTAAAAGTAAAAATGTTTACTTGCTTACGAATAGTGGCTGGCTTAACAGACCCAGGAAATACCTTACAGCTATGACCATTCTGATTCAAGTCTTACTTTTGAAGTAAAGTAGTAATGATTATAGGCAACAGCAGAAAGCTAAACTGAATTATTTTCTATGACCTAACGTCAGGGACCAATTGCTTCACCCCCAAAGTCCCGATTCTGCTCAAAATATATGGAATTTGAGTTGTAGTCCTTTTTGGCTTCTTGAGCGTCTCCTACAACTATTTCACAGCATTAGAACCCCTAAAAGCCTTATTTCTTCCCATACTGGGGATGTTTGTCACCACCATTTCCTCATAAAGTCAATAATTTATTTTTCTTTATCGGCCATTTTCTCAAAGCGTGATTTTTGTCATAGAGATATAACTCCACCATTTTTCATCCAATCTTCATGAAATATTCACATAATGAAGAGAAGATGTTAATACAAAAAATTTGTTTGTTGGATTTTTTATGTATGGAATAGTTCTTTGTAGGTGGTGTCTGGAGTGTAGATTTTTATGGATTTTTTGCAAACTTGAATTTTGTCTGTTGATTTTTCCTGAACGAACTCAGGAAAAAATTCATTACAAATGTTCTAATTCGTTCAGGAAAAATCAACAGACAAATTTTTAGATCTAATGTTTGCCAAGATGCATGCAAAAAAATAATCAATTTCCAGGAACAATAAGTTTGTTTCAGAATGCTCTCAGGTCTGCTGGGGTAATAGTAGTGTTGATAGGGGCGTTAAACTCATACCATTTCACCATTTGGGGTAATAGTAGATTGTGAAGCGCATAGAGCTTGCTGTTGAGCGGGGATTTGCACTATACAATGGCTATCTATTATTATCATTATTAAGTGCGGTATTCATTATGTAAGACATGTCAACAAAATCCAATATGGCCACCATATCCATGGAAACGAAACTTTTTTCTTGAAATTTTATTGCGGATTTTAAGACTCCTGGCTAAGCTTGTTATATGTGTGAAATATGGTAAATTTCGGTCAACTAATAAGCGAGATAGCCTTTAGGTGTTGGTCTCCCTTAAAGGAAGTGAAACCCTTCACGTGGACTGAGCATAGGAGTAGGAGTATGAAAAAAAAATGTAATGTCATAAAATGTCTCGTGCTAAGCTAAGTTCTTAACTCTAGCACAATTATTCTGAATAAATATCTCTACCTAAAACCCAAATCTATGTCATTCCCTCCCCCTTCTCTAACTTAACAATATTAGGGGGAGGCGGTTCTGCTATCCTTGCAGTTACAGGCCCTGAAACCCTGTTTTAAAGATTTATCTTACTTCCTTCCAAAATCGCTTCAAAAGCAAAAACTATTCTTTACAAGAAAGTATCTGAAAATAAAATATAAAAATATATTTTATATAGATCTACCCTTAAGCTGCAATACTGGCCTTAAAAGTTTAAGTTCGTGATTTTTTGCAAAGTAACAAAGACAAGGCTCAACAAAAAGGACAAGAGAGTAGTAGACAAGTCTGCAAAAAAAGTGAAGAGAAGTCAGAACAGGATTTTTAGGCCTATAGTGGAATAAAGCTAGAGGCTCCAATTTGCCCAAGAAAAAGAAGATGTAACTCCTGTTCAATTCATTTTTCGTCGTAACATTCCATACAGTTAACATGGAATCCATCGATTAATTCGTAACAGAAATAAAAGCATTTACTTTTGTAAATAAACAACAAGTTGCAGCAAACCTGGGGGAAGGTAAACAGAGCCTCCTTCCTAAACTGAAACTGGAACTTTTACCATGAGCTAAATCAACTACAATTTCCTCGTAGGGTAGGTTTGCGAACACCAAAAATGCGTTTCAATTAAAAAGCTTTAAAAGTAATCCTTCCTACTTCGCCAAAAATAACTTACTTGTGAAGTAGTCTGGTTTTCCATTCCAGGACTTTCAGTGGGAGGTGCGGGCGCCGCCATCTTTATTATGATGTCTGTCATGTGATCAAAGAATCAACTTCCTCGATAAGGCCAAGATCGTACATTGTAATTGTCGTCTACAACAGAAAGAGAGCACAAAAAGATGATGATGAAAATGGTAATTTCATCAAATCTTGGTGTAATTTGTGATTACAATATTTTGAAAGTGAAAATGAGAATCAAAATTAGAGACCAAATCAATATAACTAGATTTATGTTGGTATATTGGCATTTGAATATAATATTTTCTTTGACTCGCAGCGGTAGTTGCATTGACTTTCAACTGGAACTTTAATGGCACAACAAAGGGCAAAAACCAGGGGGAGGTAATTCATCATGGACGGTGAGGTAAGATGTTTACTTTGGTCCAGAATGGTAAAAAACACATAATTGGAACACAGATGGTCCAACGGCGATTTCCGATTGCATCATTTATGAAAGGTCATCAAATCGCAGTTCTAGCATTTGTCAATAAGTTTAAAATTTGGTGTAATTTGAGAAAAATGATAGTGCTACGATTCCATTTTCTCCTTTTTGTGATCTGATCTGTTTTCGATAATTTGATGAGAGGAACGATTTCTTTCTGAAATATTGTCCAGCAGGCTGGGAATGCGAACAACTCTACTTCTATGAGGGAAATTATGTAGATGATCTAAAACAGGCTCCTAACATTCAGTAGATCTAAATCTAAATCTGGTACAATGATAACAATCAGTCTGTATTGCAATTCGGTTCTCTGTAAATTGTAAAGTGGTTTCTTGGCATTTTTTGGAACTTTTAAGTTCTTCTGCTGCTTTGCAGTTGTGATGACCGATGTTCGTCATATTACGAGACCTACAGTTGTATGAATAGCCTATAGATCTAGATCTAGATCTAGTATAGTCTATAGTCTACATTACATGTAATATAATTATATTATTATTTATCTAGATCAAGATCTAGACCCCTACACATTATAATTTTATTCAAGAATTGTTGACAGAATTATCACAAAAATATAGATCTAGATCTATTGTAGCCCCCGACCCTCTTCTACTTGTTGAAACTATTTTATTACAAATAAAAATAATATAGTACAACAGTAATAATATAGTAATGGAAGGCTTAAATCAAGTTAATGGAAATTATTCGTGTGGTAAATGAATTTTTGATGAGTAAGCTGGTCTAGTGTTATAAAATTAAATCAAAAGTCGTGTCTACAATCTTGCCTAGCGTGTGTGTGCTGATACAATGATGGAAATTAATGCCCAGTGGTGAAGCGCAGGTTTATCATAGAAAATTTGGCTGTGTGCGCTGTTCAATTGTGAAGCGAGCTGACAAAATGAATTACTTCTCGGATTCAAACCTTAAGGAGATAGAGATACATCACGCTTATAAGTGAAGTTTTGACAGTTTAGAAAAGTATGAAATAATAAAAGACAGGTTATAGTTAAAGAATATAGCATCAATTGAAAGTCTACAAGTTTGACCCTAATGTCGATTTTTAGCCAATATCTCCATTTGTGGATTGCAAGAAGTAACTCATTTTGTCAGCACCGCTCACAATTAGGTGTGATAGCTGAGGAATTGGTGGTCTGAATTATTGAAAGGCCGGCACTATTTCTCCGAACGTTCGGGAAAATAAAGCTGGGCACTATTTCTCCGAACGTTCAGGAAAATAAAGCTGGGCACTATTTCTCCGAACACTCTGAAATATCATCCTTTCCCCCAAATTTAGGATATTATATAGATCTTTAATTATAGTATGGGCCTACCAAAGATTGTTCGTATACAATATGGTTCAATCGGTCCAAAAAATGTCCGCCGTAAATATTTATATAAAGAAATGCTACAATTCCAAACAGTTTTTTGCTATAGATATGACGTGTTGCCTATGAAAGGTGCTGCTTTTAAACGTAATGTGTTGTATTCACTCGTGTGCTATCTAGATCTACGGAGGGTTATTGATAACTACACATAGAACTGGCATCTGCGTTTGTCACTGCTGCGACCAATGTACTGACACTGGCAAGCCCCTTAATGTGTGTGATTCCATAATTTACATGTAATATCCTGTACTTTTTTTTAAAATTACGCACATTTAGGGTTAAAACTGCCAATCTTCTTCGGACAGGTGGACACACGCCCTTATTTGTTAATGTTTGTTGTTGTTTATGGGCTGTTCTAATTTTGATTTCTTTCTGTTATGAAACCTTTCTTTTTCACGTTTTTACACTCATCTAAAAATCTCATCTAGACTAGCTGTTGAAAATTTAAATAGATATAGACCCAAAAATTTGCTCCTGTGTGTGTGTGTGTGTGTGTGTGTGTGTGTGTGTGTGTGTGTGTATGTATGTGTGAGTGTTTGAGTGTGTCTGTGTGTGGTAGTAAGTGGAGAGTGAGGAGTGTGTGTGTGTGTTTGTTTGTTTTTCGGGCTTTATTTCAGCCTTTATTCAGTAACAGTTCAAAGTATACAAAAATAGAAACACAGGATCCATTCACTCCAGGACTCATGAGTCATTCGTCTCTTTCAGTTTCACTCTTTCATTCAATTCCCGTGTTCTCTCCCACGGCTCATCCCCGCCCGCATGACTTTCATACCCCACCCCGTCCCTCCAGGCACACACAAAGAAAATCTCACTTGTTCCCTGCGAACCATGGACAATAATATAGGCAAAACACCGCCTGAGCTGCATTCCTTTTGTTCGTGAGCTGTGGACCAGGCCAGGGGTGGTCAGTGTCGTCGTCTTTTAGTTGCTGTCGCCTGTGGATACACTCGCACATTCTTCCTTTCACCCGCTCTTTCACTCACACTGTCTCTCCATCTACAGTTCAGCTCGTCATACGTTCAAAAGTTGCCCACTAGTTATGTTTAGTTAGTGTGTGTACATGTGCATGATGGTGGTGGGTGTGTGGTGGGTGTTACTGAAGGTTGTCTGTAGGCGGGCTTGCCATGCGGTACGTGTTCCTTCCCAGACCAGAGGCAGAGGCAGAATGAAAGTTGGCGCCGAACTCTCGCAATAAATAGGCAAAAAATCACGAGACCGGAAGCCGAAAACCGTTCGGAGAAATAAAGATCGGCACTATTTCTCCGAACGTTCGGAGAAATAGTCACTTCGTTATTGAAAAGCTGTTCCGTCTGGTTAGTTATTGAACTTTCAAGTCATAAAATCACTGCTTCAACTGCTGGTGGTGGTTACGAAGGTTTTCTACATTTTATTACAGTATCCGATCTCTATGTTCTCTCACTGCGATTATTAATGCGAGCTTCATTGTTGCTATGATTAACTGCATCCAATTCAGCCCTTTCTTGCTGCCAGAGAAGAGCACCATAGCTGATTTTTTTGTTCTTCCCTTTTGTCATGTTGTACGATCAACGAATGAAGTTCCTGTGTGGTGTGTGGTTGCATTTTTAATCGCACACAACCATTCTCTCCCCCCCCCCCCTTTTTTTTTTCGACATATATAAATATTGGATCTGTTAAGATGTGGGCTTCCAACCCAAGATAAGAGCGATACAACAGACCAGCAGAAAGACAGAGATACTTAATGAAATTTTCCCCACTCTGGCTTCGGTCTCAGGTCTCCTGGTGACAACAAAGTGTCTAACTGATGCACCACAGATGCCTGTAGTGTAAAGCATCAACGTTGTGGTGTTTATGGGTCATTGCCGATACAGATATATAGGGGTACAAAGGTCTATTTCTTATTGTGCATCTATCCTCTAGATTGGATCTGAGCAAAAGCTGGAAAACCGAGTGGGTTCCTCCTTGATGAACAAGCTCGTAAATTATAGAAAATGGCTGTTGAATTTTTTTAACGCAATTTTAATGATTTTCGTTGTATTATATTGAACAGGAAGCTCCGGCAGATGTCGGACTACAGCAGTTCTCACCTCATGCACTCTCTGAGGATTCCAGCGTGTCCTCCGATGTTGAAAGCCTCCCAGTTCACGCAGACGTTTCAAATCCTGAAAGCTTCCCTGTCTCTGAAAGCATGAGCAGTAAGTCGGGTTTATTTCTATGCTTGCGGCATTTGTTAGTCAGGGCCAAAAGCAAGGATTTTTGTTTTTGTTTGGAGAAAAATAATTTTCTTTTTTTCTCCTGAAAATATCTTCTTTTTTTTCTGAAAATATTTTTTGCAGTCTGCATGTTTTTATATTATGAAATGCTGAAACAATTGTCATATGAATAGTTGATGCTATTTATTTGTCTTGATTTATGCCCTGTTGGAAAGCTATTCCTTTATGTTGATATGTCAGGTGATAAAGTTTATCTTGATTTATGACATATTGCAACTCGCCCTACCCTCCTCCAAATTGGTCTCCATTTTGTGATTTTGTGCAGATGTTGATGTGACAGGCTCTCCCTCGGCTGTGTCCTCTTCCTCCTCGTCAGTCGCGGCGGTCCGGGATGAGGCGGCTCCGGGCACACCGCAGAAGGGTATGGCCGTCTCTAGAACTGGGTCAACCAGTGGACTCGTGACCACACCGCCTCGGACTTTGCTCAGCAGATTTCCGCTCCGAGTGGGCATCACGTGGAAGAAGGGAGAAAAACTGGAAGCCATGGATTATTCTAGAACTTGGTAATGAATCAGTTTGCATTGAGTCACATTGGGGTTTTTTTAGGACAAGAACTTCTGAATTTGATTGCGACATCTCTGATCTGAAGAATAAATAAATAGCTGAAATAGGAACCTCTGAATTTAATTGTGACATGTCTGATTTTTAAAAAAGCCTGCGACAACCAACTGGTGCCTGTCAAAGTCTGCATGACTAGCCACATTGCAAAGAGAAAGGAGGTTCTGTTAATTGGTTCGATAAAATTTCCGGTATATATTATGTCAGTTGCAACTAAACACGAGGAGAAATGATGGAAATATGTAGGGTTAAATTTTCCACTTTAAACTTTTGGCTTGTACAAGTTTGTTTTTTTAAATTAAAGTTTCAACTACAGTGGAAATTGTCCAAGACAGCCACCCATTGTGGAGGAGAATAGTGGTTAGTGGAAATAGTGGTTAGTGGAGGAGAATAGTGGTTAGATGTCTCAGACTTAGACAGGTGTCTTGGGGAGTGTCATTGCAGGGCATAGGGCTTGCTGTTTAACGGGAATTTGCACTATACAAATGCTGTTATTATTAGGAAGGTTTGTTGCTGGGTTTGTTTTTTTATTGGAAAGGGTGGGGGGAGAATGAGAAGTATTTGTTTGTACAGGTGTATGTTGTCTTGGACTGAAACCACAACCTTCTCCCGGCAGGTACCCCTCCAAGATTGTCGACCTGGACGAGAAGGATCAGCTGGTCCTGATTCACTTCGAGGGCTGGAACCACCGCTACGACGAGTGGCTCCCGATGGGCAGCGACAAGCTGCGGCCGGTCACCCGCCACTCCGAGCGCAAAGACAGGGGCATTAAGAAGCGCCGCGCCTACCCTCATCCTGTGAGTGATCCCCCTGCCGTGAGTCCGATTTATTCCAAACTTTCTACTGCTCCCGTTTTTTGTGTGCCCGGTTCTCATCATCGTTGTCCCTCTCACCTCCCCCCCCTCACATATGTGGTTGGTGGTTGCCTGTGGCGCGCGCGGCATGACCTTCACCTCTGTGCTGGCAAAGACTTTTGACTCCTGAGACTTCTTCTCTGAACCCCCCCTGCCCCCAACCCTCAACCCCATTCCCCTCGCCCCTCGCCCACTCCCCCCCACCCCCACAGCAGTTTTGTTCCAGATGTCCCATTGCTTGCTTTCGGTGTCCTCATCAGTGGTACTCATGGTTTGTAGTGGATGGTTTGTACGTTTTCATCCTTAGTATGTGTAATATAGTTTGTGTTTACGTCTTGTATGTGTCACTACCTATTTGGTTGTGGAGAAAAACTTCAGTACTCAATAGGAAAATGGGTGGTTGGCGGGTGCGCTGGTGTAGTTTGCTCTTTCTTTCCCGTCAAACATCTATCATCTTTACTTTATCTCTACTCCTTTTTTTTCTTTTGCACGTTGTTCTCTAGTAACACCGCTAATCCTTGGCACTGAGATGACCTATTTGTGTTGGAAATGGCGTAAAACTCTTGCTGTAATTAAAGCGTATAAGAAAGTTGAAAAGCTGCTTTAACATGGCAGATTAAATGCTGGTATCTGTGGTGTAATGGGTAGGCTTTTCGCTGTTGCACTCTGACAAACACAGGACTTGGGTTCGTGAGTGGGGAAGTTTGGGGGATTTTTTTATCAACGATCACCATCTGTCCGCTGGGATGTTGTGTCCCTCTCTGCCCGGTCTGGCCGTGGCCGGCGGGGTGAAAGCCAGCCAGCCCACAAAAAGTGATCTAAATTTGGTCAGGTGGGGGTGATAAACTTTTTAACAAAACCTTTTAATAATCATTTCTAAATTTGATGTGCAAAGTTCCAGACTTTCATCCTGTATCACAAGATGTGTTTATATATAATATATATAAATATATATATATATTATATATAAACACATCTTGTGATACAGGATGAAAGTCTGGAACTATATAATAATAAATATATCATGGTTAGAGATAGTAGTTTGCTAACTAAATCTGAGAATGGTTTGCAATACTCATTGTGTTGGGTTCATAGATGTGTTGGTTTGTCCGTGTGTAACATCAATTTTATTTTGAAACAAGTAATTTTGTAACTCTCCCTGGATGGGTTTATGTTTTTTGTTAGTTTTTATGTCCAAATGTTGGAAATGTCTTTTGTTTTTTAAGAAAAGGAGGCACTGCATGTGGGGTGTATTTTGTTTTTGGTTCTCCTGAAGAAAAAAAAAAGAAATTGTGCATGCAGTAATCATGTTGCTTCTAGATTATTTCTAGGGATTGAGAGACATGCTTTTGTGCATGCCGTGTTATAATGTATACTTCTTTGTGACTGTGCGTGTGTTTGTTTGTTTCTTTGTGTGTGTAGGTGTAAATGGAAGAAGAAAACAATGAGTGGGTAAGAGAGCAAATGGTAAACTGTCTTCTTTTAATTCCTCCGTATTTTGTAAGACTAGTTAGATATATACAGATTTTCATATACAGATATATAAATATATATATGTGTGTGTGCATACATATGAATGAGAGAGAGGAGAGTGAGAGACATAGCTGTATGTGCCCAATATGTAATGGTAATATTCTGAATAAAAGCGAAACTTTGATACAATAGAAATTTACAATCATTAAATTACTATCAATTTTTCCTGTAAGTGTAATCACTTTTTCATTTTCATTTTTGTTTTTATTGCCTTCCGTAATATTCTTTCTGTTCCTTTTGACTTGCATGAAAATTACTTGTGATCGTTTCATTGTCCTCATCTCTTCTCCTTCTTTTATTGTGTATGTTATACCCTAGTAGCACCTCAAATCCTCAGCATTTATATGACCTAATTGTGATGCAAGTGTTGTAAAATGTGTACTGAAACATTAAGTTTTGCTCTGACCTTTGTCCTGATTTCTTTGCATTTGAACAAGAAGACCTTTCCAAGTGCAGAGATGAGAAAAGTTGATATCAATTAACAGAGGTTTACCCCCACCCCCACCCCCCTTTTTTCGTCTCTGTCTCTGTCTCTGTCTCTGTCTCTGTCTCTCTCTCTCTCTCTCTCTCTCTCTCTCTCTCTCTCTCTCTCTCTCTCTCTCTCTCGCTTTCCAACAAACCCACCACCGAAAGACCCTAGCTGTGCATATTCTCTCTCTCCCTCTCTCTCTCTCTCTCTGTGTTTTTCTGTCTGTCTGTGTGTCTGTCTGTGTGTCTGCCTCTCTCTCTCTCTCTCCACCTCTCCCCCCCCCTCCCCACACACATCCATAAACCCACCACCTAAGAAAGAAAGAGAGAGAGAGAGAGAGAGAGAGAGAGAGAGAGAGAGAGAGAGAGAGAGAGAGAGAGAAGTCTCACAAGAGAAATGGCCCAAGTCATTCAGTTGGCACTAGGCCTACAGCAGTAGCAGTTCCTTCCCCTGACAAAGCGTAGCTGATTGGCTGGCTAATGGCACCGATAGGCTCTCTCGGCCAATCAGACTGTCAAGACAGCAGAAGAGATTGGGAATGGCACAGCAGACAACCTCTGCACTCACTGCACTTTGTGCTGCACCGTTCAAGAATCTTTCCTCGTTCTATAATATAAAAAAATAAAAATAAATGAATAAAT